AGCATTTATGTGTAATAATATTATCTATTTTTGGTTATTAAGTTAAAAGGTATACTGTATATCGTTGTATATCTGGTCGATTGAGATCTCCATAAAAGTTGTATTTACACACAGGTCACAGATTCTAAAATTGTTCTTGCTTAGGAAATTAAATATGAACTTAATATCTTGTCTGGACTTTGTTTGAATCGCTTGATGTTGTTGAACGGTTTAAATGGTGGATGGACAAGCAAAGAGTGTCATTCATGGGGCCAATTTATAATTCTAATGAAGTGATTTTGAATTTCTTAAATAGAAAGAGATACATATTCGCATCTCAACACAAAGATTTTTGTTATCAACTTTAAACTTAATATATTTAACATAGTTATATATTACTGATTAGATAAGATTTTTCAATTTCATTTAAATTTCAAAAAGAATGTTGTGGCATTGAATTTTGAGATTTCTAGTAATCCTAAAATACTTGCTTGCAATTAGATTCATGGAATACAAAAATATATATAAGAGCCGGCTCTAAAAGAGTTTCAACTAATTAGAATAACAACAAAAATAGTAGGAATTTAACATTGTTTAACCCGGGTTATAAAATGATTGGGGCGGGTATATGTAATAAGCTCAAATCCACAGTAACAATAACTGAAACCTCTCTACTCTACTATTAAGGCTGAAATGTGATTACAACTCAAATATCAAGATGTAACAACTTAGTAGCAGAATTACAATAGAAATTGTAGGAAGTAAGTAACTAGAGATAGATAGAAAAAGGGGATGAGAAGGTTAGTGTTAGAGAATAGGAGACGAGGAGAAGCAGACACTTTTCTCAACAATCGGCATACCCCGTATCTCTCCCCCCCCCCCCCCCCCGGATCCCAAATATAATGTCCAAGCATTCTATTGGGTTGTTTAATCATTGGGCCTTTAGCTCCAGGCCCAATAGTTCCAACTGGATCAGCCTCGTTCCCATAATTCCTTACTAAGCCGGGCTGGTTCACAACAATACTCCCATCCTCAAAAAGAACCTTGTCCTCAAGGTTCGAGTAGAGCAACACTGATATCCTAGTGCTCGAGGTCCACTTGCGTACCAGAAACAAACCGCCAGCCCCATAATTCATAACGACACTGATGCGCGAAGAGATGCTTAGAGCGTCCATGATGTCCCCCTTTGAGTTGGATATATAGATGAGTTCAAGTATCAAAGAAAGTACTCTTCTAATATCTTGCTCCCAAAATTGTAACAGATGTTCTAGATTGCATATTCCCTTTCCAAGCCTCATATTTCCAGAGAAGTGAAAGAGAGTATTTGGTAGAACTCCCTTAAAACCTTGAACAGACAAGATCAGTTGCGTAGAAACAGCCATAGTTTCAAGGAAAATGAGCACTTTATACCAGCAATCACACCAACTCACCTGTTCAAGTAAAGTTATGACCCCATCAACCTTATGTTTAAGCAAATCAAAAAGTATCTCTTCAGCTGCAGCACAAGCTTTAGCAAAAGGGAACTGTCTCCTCCCTCTCTTTGCAATTCTCGTAGGAAATTCAAACACTTACAACTGGTGAATAGTTTGGCTAACCCAAACAACAGATGTACCAATGAACTTTAGGAGAGCTCCACTTAGAACCACAGTCATAAATCGAGCCGAATGATTAGCCACCATATCATAATATTCAAGTTGGTGACCAAAGGATATGAAACTCACTTTCTCAATAACTGCAACAAGTGTCTCCATTATCTGTTTTAGATATTTAGAATACAGAAATGCATGAAAATGACCAAAAGGCAAGATAAGATTAAGGGGCTCCTCCCACTTTGACCCACTCTGATGTAACAAGGGAAATGTGTTATCCTGGACAAACTCACTGCTGCATGAGTAAAAGTATAGCTGGTCCAAAAATTGAGCAATAGATACAACCATAACAAGAGAAATATCATCTCTAAATATATGAGTGGAGTTACTAGAGATCTGCTCATTCTGAGCACTAACATAAGCAAGACTCAAGCATCTTATAGCTCCTTTTCGAATTGAGCAATTCACATCAGCAAAAATAAGTGCAAGAGCAATCTTAATAGCCTCAATATGTCTCAACAGAAGATCCAAAGGTTCAATGCAAGCATCCCACGTGGTTGATGTCAAACCCAACACCTCACAGAAATCAGAATTTCGTGTAGTCCCAAGGCATGTAGCAAGAAAACTAGTACCAGGATCAAAAGGAAAGTCACTACCACCAAACATAGCATTCGTGTTTTCATACTCAGCATCATTAGGTACCAAGGCTACAGATGGTTGTAACTTTCTTCGTTGCAGGACATGCAAGGCCGGTGATCCTAAGAACAACTCAACAGGTTTGCTGGCAGTTGGTCATCTGTGGGAACATGCATATTATTAATCAAGGTATGCCACCATATCGACTCAATGATCCACGAGAAAAGCCAAGATGTGACTCTCTCTAAGTCAACTGTTGAAGTGCTCGCGTCATGCCAATCAACAATAAATTGCAAAAGGTCACGCTTGCTGGATTGTTTGGTTCCTAGAATCAATTTAATGAGTCCCTCCAAACTTATATTTACCATATGAACACCCAAATATTTAATGACCGTCACAAACCCCGCAAGAGCTTGCACAAACTTCAAGCGATGGTGTCGGCAAGGCCATTTCCTTCTCTTGCAAACCAGTCATGAAGAGCTGTACAGAGACAAAATTTCAGTTCATCAAGCTCACTATCTCTCTTAGGCTCACAATTCGCGCACAAAGTTTTTCAACCCATCATGCATTCCTTTCCCAACATCCACAATAATGTGAAAGCCTTCACTTTCGAGCCTCTCAATGGGGAATTGGTAACAAACATGCTCAATCTTTTGCTGAAATATTCCTTGGCCATGATGCTCCAAATCAAGAAGTGCAGCAACACCTCTTACTACTTTCTCTTCATGTGTTGAGCCCCTACCAAAAAGTTGGCTAAAAATGTTGTTGATGTTCATTCTAGCACCTCTACTTCCCATAGTAGAATTTGGGAGTGTCAAGTTTCCAAGTTCCATTGCAGTAGTATCACTTTGTTGTCCATCAGTGTTGTAGATTGTGTGTGGCACGTAAACAACTGCTCGCCAACCAGTTGCAACAACATAAGAGCTCAAGGGTGAAGTAAAGACAAGCAAATAGCCGGAGTTCATATCAAGGAAGTCACCGACATACGCATGAAATGATGCATCCACATTCGCAAAAGGAATTGCCAGCGCAGAGCTACTGGCATGGGAAAACTCAGCAGCCACAGTAATCATCTCACTATAATTGGGATAGACAATAGTTGGCGGTATGGAAGAGTTAAACACAATGAGCAATTTGTTGTAAATCATTTCGTCAAACATCGGTCTCCAATTGTCCAGCCAACTTTGATATACATATATCTATCTATTAGAATAATCAAAAACGAAACTAGAGAAAACTTACTAGTTGTATGTCTTTGCCCCATGTTATACCACTGGTCTAAATAAGTGTTGTAATCATGTTTTGCATGAGATTTTAGTAGCTTAATTGCATTGTCAGCAGAGTCAATATCCTTGTTTCCTATATACACCAGTACCATATATAACATAAGCTGCCCAGTATCAAACCAACTGCAAATTTTTGAATTAGTCTCATGAATGACAGTAAAAAAATTCGATAGACATGGACCATTGTGAATTTGAAGATGTATGACATCTGTAAATGGATGTGTAATTTCAACAGTTCTCACTATGTTCTCTGGTACTACATACTCCCAGCAAGGAAAAGGAACCAGAAAATGAGGTATATGCATTTGAGCCAATTTGTCAAACAACCGATTTGCAGTGTCGCTTGAATTTTCTTCACCTTAGTGTAGACTCGCTGGTCCTATTTTTCGTCATATGAATTAGAGTTTATCTTCATTGTATCAAAAAGTTCCTCCGAGTCTATAGACAAAATCTCAGTACTAGCAATTTGTTCAATCCTTTGGGGAGTTTCAGCGAACACCTTGTCTACGACAGCAACAGACTTGTCTCCATCAACGAGAAGAGAGTCAGTTTCAAGAACTTCGGGGATTTGAGTAGATGCAGACTCAGGAGAATTAGGAATATGGCTCGGAGCAGCAAAAGGAGACACATAGGTTGCTGGAAGAATCAATGTAGCGCAACTCGCGTGGTCAACACAGGCTCGGGAAGTAACTTCCATTCTCGCCGAAGCACTGATGGTCCGTTGTCGAAATCGCATAAGCAATTTTTCCTTAAAATGCGTCCAATCGAAGAATTGTTTGTTGCGAAACAACCAATTGAACCAAGTAAGAGCTTCACCACCAAGGTAAAAGGAGGGGAGAGGTAACCAATCCTTCTCGGCGAAGCCAAGATAGGTGAAGTACCGCTCGGCCCGAAAAAGCCAGCTCAGTGCGTTGCCGTTCCCATTAAATCGATCTAATACCTCCATTGGAGTTCGATGGATGAAAGCACCAATGTAATAAGCTCAAATCCACAGTAACAATAACTGAAACCTCTCTACTCTATTATTAAGGCTGAAATGTGATTACAACTCAAATATCAAGATGTAACAACTTAGTAGCAGAATTACAATAGAAATTGCAGGAAGTAAGTAACTAGAGATAGATAGAAGAAGGGGATGAGAAGGTTAGTGTTAGAGAATAGGAGACGAGGAGAAGCAGACACTTTTCTCAACAATCGGCATGCCCCGTATCTCCCGCCGGATCCCAAATATAGTGTCCAAGCATTCTATTGGGTTGTTTAATCATTGGGCCTTTAGCTCCAGGCCCAATAGTCCCAACTGGATCAGCATCGTTCCCATAATTCCTTACTAAGCCGGGCTGGTTCACAACAGTATATTATACCCATATGTCTTGTCTGACCCAATAAGCCACGTGACACAATAATACGTTGCCAAGACATCATCTGATGCCGTTAAATTGAAGGGTAAATTTAGCAATAGAAATAATATTGTGTGTATTTTTGGACCAAAAAGTGGACGGCTACCAAACAATAGAAGTAATTTTGACCATTTTACTTAAATAAATATCTCTAAGATTGTGTGTTCATGCATTAGTAAAGAGAAGAAAAAGAGATATGAGTGATATAATAGTTGCTCATTTAAAGGAAAGCATGATAGGGAATATCTGCACATTGTCAAAATAAGATACATTTTCAGAGAAGAAGAAGAATTTTCCTTCAGCGATCACTGACTTTAAGCCATGACAACATCAGCTTCAATTATGACTCTATCATCCACAAGATAACCTCTTCCGGGATCATTTAGTGCACTTAGAAACATGAATGATTTGAACCCCCAGGCACTCTCTCCTGCCTTAAACTGGTGTTGAGTCGCTGCCACAAGTATCATAACATTAAAACAAAACAGTCAGCACTTCCACTAATCATATCACAATCCTCTATAACATAAATTCAGATCCCTCAAAAGGGAGAAACCACTGGAAGTAGCATATAAAATAAAAAGTTTCAAGTAGCATAAATTAGAAAGGTCACTAGCTTCTTTTTATTTTTAGATGGTAAAGTATATGTATACTTAAAATAAAAGCAGTACATAGGTTGTAGTGAAAACAGCAGTATATAGGTTGTAGTGAAAACCAAATTTACAAGAGGGCAAAAGAAGAAAACTGTTCTCAAGTCCTAGATAGGTCACTAGCTTATTCTTACATGAATTCAGGATATAGTCAAGAGAAATGACAATCGAAAAAAGTTTCCTTCAGAAAATCGGCCACTCATGATTTATTCTTCACCAAGGCAAGTGACTTCACACACCATCTAATCAATGATCTCAAAGAAGCTGCTTTCAAATCCTTTCCCAGAAGAGTTTGGAGGTTGAGTCTGCAGCATTTTCAAATTCGACTACAGGAAACACCATAAACTTAAAAGAAGGTCAAGATCATTTCTAGTCAGATCTTTTAGGCAGTTCCTTCCAAAGATGTATTCCATAGACCATCTACGACATTATTGCAGTCATCAAGATCCCAAAGGAGTCTTTGAAGGATCAGATATTCGATGTACTGTTTCCCGTTGAATGAAATATCATATGATCTACTCCTCTAATGAATTTGCAGAGGAACCCTATGCAGGCGGGAGGCCAAGCTTAGGTTCAACATAGAGTTGATCCTTCGGGGACCTGGGCCAAGGATTCGAGACATGGAAACACCTCCTAGCAGAAATGCAAGGAGAAGGCTAATATACATCCACTTCCCCCTGCACCCGTACTAGCAGCGTATGACGTAGGCCCTTTACTCTATATAAGGTGCAACTAGAAGAAAAGAAGAAGATAGGTCATAATAATCTTGTCTCTCACTACTGAATAAACCTATTTAAACCATTGCAATGCAAGAATTGCCTCTTGCAGGGAAGCCTATACATAAAAAGAAACACTCAAACAGAAGCTTGTTATTCTAGTGCAAGACTAGCACAATTATACCCAGCCAAAATGACTCCTTGAGGTAAGTCAGCTAACACGGAAAATTTCTATACAGTACACTCCGGCCACAGAGCTGATAATAACAACTGAAAAACCTTTTGCCAATAGAAAAAAATACTAACACCTAAGAAAACAGAGAAAATACATAAATGGTCCCTTGTGTTTGAGCCTTTACGGTAGGTCTAAAATTGCCCTTTACATATATATGTTAGATAAACTCCAAAACCGTTAGTTAACAGAGTTCCCACATCAAATACACGTGATCCAAAACAAAAAATCAAAAAAGCCAGTGAGACTATGCTCACTTTTCCCATTTCCTCACGGGAAAAAATATATTATTGATATGCATTACTCAACTATAATACAATATACTCCACATAGCACATAATACACATACGTGGGACACCCAACCTACTGTAAACATAAACTATCTAACACTCCCCCCTCAAGCCGGTGCATATAAATCATATACTCTCCTTCCTGCTACTTGTGGAGCTTTTGTTTTCTTTCTCATTTAACTGCTCAACTTCTACTTCATGAATGGCAGTGAGAATATTCAACCCTTTCCTGATTTGTGTTGCTCTTCCTTTCAGATCTTAACATGTTCAACAGCACTTCTTAAGTAGAGCTGTCTTATTCATTTGCTAGAAACGAGGGCATGGATTAATTCTAAGAGTAGAAATCTGAGCATTAATTCTGTCTCTACACCTTTTCACAGCTCCACAATTGCTCCTAGGTGTACAGTGAAATTTCCATTTAAGTAACTAACGGTGTCATGATTTAGCTTAACAAAGACCAGAGGTGCTCACTTCTGATTAAGTTAAAGGACCAAATATGCTCAGTGGTACATTTAAAGGAAGACCTAAACTCAAACATAAGGGACCACTATGTCATTTTCTCTAAGAAAATACATAAAAGAAGATATTGTCTATAAAATCTCTGCATATTATTCCTACAGTGCCTTTGAGGGGTTAGAAAATGATTTTGTACGGTTGAGGAATAGTCCCTTGTTCTTAGTTCGCTTTTGTTCACCATAAAGTTCTTGCATATAGAAGATTAGGTGACATTTTTAAGAACATATTATACTGTAGGTTCTCTACTTACTCGTATATGTCTTGTATATGGGAGTTTTTCCCACATTAACAAAATTATTTACCTCATCAGGAAAAAATGACTAGTGCAGTAGGTCTTGATCAACATCCACACAGTGGCCGACATGATTGAATTTACTGAAAAGATCTTTCCAGAATCAATTAGATATGCCAGTCCTAAATAGGCCTTTTAGAAAATGCTACAGGTAAAGAAAATAATGATAAAGGTGAACCTATTAAGTTTTCCAGCAAAACAAAGAAAAGAAACTCATGGAGAATAAGCATCACAATACTGAAGCATGTCGGCAGAAGAATAGAGCAGTAATACATTTCATGAACCCACATCATTGTTGGAGCACTTCTTGAAATTAACAGCCAAATGAAAACCTAAATCGCATGTGTCCAAACTATAATACAAGGGTCGAAGTTCATTTATTAATTTGTTCCTTATGGATGAAAAAAAAATATCTAAAGAAATACTACCTGAAATAAGTTATCCAGAAAAGTCTCAGTTTGATAATTCTCCACAGCTGACAATGAGGAAAATCAGAGAAATCTAACACAACACATCCATATACAAATGGCTTAAACTATACAGTGGTTAAATCAACTATAGATTTTCCCTCATTTTAAACTCATGCACAAAATTCATACCTTATTTTATACAAGAAATGAGATCTCTGACCTTTTTTCACAGTTAACTTGTTCTGAACTTGATTGAGAACAGCTAAGCTAAACAGAGCACATCTACTCCACCCGTAAGGCAATCTTGCAGAATCTGCCACATCCAAGTAGATTGATAAACAGTCTACTACATTGTTCCCTTTTGGGAATATCCATATCCTCCTGCCAGACACAATGCACCATATAGTACATCAATATCATATAAATTTGTAAAGCAATCCACTAAAAAGCAGGATGTTGAAATAATTACCATTTATATCCTCCTACATTAAAAACTTCAGAGTACAACTCCTTCACCATCAACCTTGAAAAATTATTGATAGTCCAAGTGAACCGGACTGCCTCAAGATCATCCACCGCCTGTACATCAACCATACTTGCTGTGCCCGCTGGTGCAACTGCCAAAAAATAAAGCGTGCAAAATTTATGAAAGATGGAGAAAAGATAAAATATCAGTCAAACAATCAACATCTCAATCCTAAATTTGTTGGAGTCGCTGGTATGAATCCTCTACATATGTTGCTCAATTCGCGTCCATTTCATTCTAATACTGGTAAGTGCAAATTACACATACTACAATTCAATCAACGTAAAGATGTGTAGCCATTCACATATATTCTACTAGTGGAGTAAGAAAACTGATACCCAATAATAAGTGAGACAAATCCATACATTATTACTTAATATAAGAGAGAGAGAGAGAGAGAGAGAGAGAGAGAGAGAGAGAGAGAGAGAGAGTGTAAAAGTAGGTGAGATACCTTCGATAGGCTGATGTCTCTTAGTAGGAAAGTCGGAACTAGGAACATCCACTTCCAGCTCTTCCGGCAGCGAAAGACGAAGCAAAGTAATAAATTTCGATCCAACAAAGATGGACAATTTGATTATCTTTCACATTTAAAGAGAGAATTTAGGTAAAGTTTACACCCAGTAGCATCATATTATTAAACTCAACACATATTCATCCAAAGGATCAATTTTTTTGGGAACTCCACCCAGCAAAGAACCTTTAAACAAAAACACACAAAACAGAGTAGAACTATAAAATAAGTGAATTCACGGAGCAACAGAGCGGATTAAATTTGGCACCATGGCATTTTAGAGAAATTCAAATCAATTTCACACAATGACAGCGGCTTAAAGCTATTTTTTTTAAAAAAAATACGTGAAACAGAGTAAAACTGTAAGGACAAAATGAATTCATACAGCAAGACAGATAATGAATTGAGTCACTATCACATTTTAAAGAAACTTTAGGTCAATTTCACAAAGCAATCACAACAGAGTTTTAAAAAAATAAAAAATCAATATTTTAAAAACTAAACCAACCAATCTACTTTAACAAAAAAGAATATGCGAATAGAGCACAGCTGTAAAAGCAAAGTGAGTTCACAGAGCAAAAATTACAGAGAGATGGAGAGAAAGATTACATCTATAGAAAGAGGAGCGAGGTGAGTCATTAGCGGGGAACAGCGACCGTCAAATTGGCGGCTAATATGAGATATTTTAATAATTGAGAACTCAATGTATGTTGGAGGAATTTATATGTTTGGGATGATATATTGAAGCTTTTTGTTGAGTTCAAGTTCTTTGTGACGAGGAAAGGGGGGAGGATTGTTGTTAAATATTATAGTAATTGAATGTGTGTCTATTTCAAAACATCTTCATGTCATTGATAGACATTCCTAGAGTACTAACAGTTGATTTTCTTACCAACGAAAGGTGTGATAGGATAGTTGGAACCTTTTATCTTAGCTAGAGGTTTCATAAAGAGTGTTTTGCCTTCTTAGGGCGTCTACCTGACATGAATGTGAATTAGTCAAGTGTGTGAATTTCAAATTCTGGTCTACATAAAAATTTTGTCAAAATTTTAATTTTTTTCTTGGATGCTTAAATATCTTCATTGTATTTATCCAATATTATCTATTTTTTGGTCTTTAGGTTAAAAGTAACTTTATATTGGTGTCATCCAGGTTTCTATAAAATTCACATTTAAAACAGACATTTTATAAGAAAAAGAAAAGATTTGTTAAGTGGAAGTGTTCTTGTGTTGAAAATTATTATGAACTTAACACCTTGTCTAGAGTTTGTTTGAATCACTTGATGTTCTGGGACGCCTGTATCGTGGATGGACAAGAAACAAGTGTTATTGCTGGACCAATTACAACTTGAATTATTTGATCTTGAATTTCCTTAAACAAAATGTGAAATTCTAATCTCACCATAAGGATTTTTCTTATCAACTTTCAAATAAGATTTAGTATTACCAACATAGTAAACCCTTATCTTTGAATTCCTCCTCCATAATTATCACAGATTGGCATGGGTTGCCATACTTCTTGTTGCCTTTACTTTGTATCAACTTCTGTTGTTGTATGCCTTCCAATTTATGAGGCCAGTTGCCAAAAATACACTACTAGAATTTATCTAATTTCGCATGGCAGAAGATCTGTCGGAATACCGACAAAAATTCAGATGGCAAGAAATACTACGTTGCCGATGGAAGTCGTCCGAATCCGTCAGAAGACTTGTGGCGCCAGTTCAGGGGAAAAACTAAGCAACTTTTTTCAGGCGGCTAGCCGACAGACATTTATTAAATACATAAATTATTTATTGTTTAATAAATTTTCACCGTCCGACATGTACAAGTATAAAATAATTTAACCATTTAGAATTTTAGGACGGCTAGCCACATCGTACTTACTGAGATAAGTGATTTCCTAAGGGGACTCGACTAGCTGTCCAGAAATCTTTTACTCTCTAACCCTTACACCCCCCCTTCTATTACTCTCCTCCAAGAAATCTTTTGCCGGCCATTCAAGAGCTTCCACCGACCACCATCTTTTCCATCCAATCACTACTTTCCCAGCACCGTTCCTTGGAAGAAAACCTCCAAAATAGAGAGTAAGGAAGCCGATCAATAGCCGGACTTCCTCACCGAGAAACCAAATTCTGGTGGAGCTCTCGCTCTTGCAAGTGATTCATGGCTCCTGCTTCGGCATATGCTGCTGTGGTTCGTCACTTAAAAATGCTCCAATAGGTAAGCTCTACATTTTTACATGTCTTTAATCTTTCTCCTTCTCTTTCTCTTGGCTATGTTGCTTGCCGGGTTCGGTTGTATGGTTAAGTCAAAGCGAGCAAAATAAAGTACAGCAGGCGTACTAGCAAAGATATAGCCATCAACAAAATCTATGGCAATGCTGTAACAATCTTTCATACTCCAATGATAATATCACAATTGGAGCGTTCGCACATACCTGGCGATTGTGCACATACTCCAAAAACGAAGGAACATCAGGAAAGCGATATTGCTCACTGCAGTGATTTCGAAGGGATTTCTGAAAGCAAATTATATCCCCATCTCCTATCTGCAAAGCCAGAGCAGTATTGCATAAAAAAATTCTTTGGTACTATATCCAGCAGAAGAAACAAAAAGAAAAAACCATTGAAATAAATTGACTATGCATAAAAAACCCCAAACAACTGGCAATTGATTGCGCATACCTCACACTCACAAAAACTCAGCTTACTGTCAATGCGTTCACACATCACGTTGGGTTCAAATTTTATTTCCTGTGAATAACAAAATCTTAAAAATCACATATCATACGTTAAGAGTTAAAAAGTGGTAGCAAGAGAAGAAGAAAATTAACCTCGAAAAGTTCGATTTCTTCGTCAGGCGAAAAGCCAACCAACTCATTTAGCTTTGTTAGTATCTGCAGTGGCTTGCCACTTTCTTTTACAAAAAGCCGTCCAACATACCTGACAACAAAAAGGTAATTAAATGGAGATAGACCAAAAACCTCATCCACATCATGGCTTCTCGTATGCGGCCCCATGCAGTTGGACTTTAACAGCACTTCAAGTTTCAAATTCATTAAATTCTGAACTAACACTACTAATATGAAGCGTCATCAAGTGCAAAGCTTTGACCTAGTCTTCTTCTTCTTTTTTCTTTTTGCCCCTTTTTTGTTATATCCTCATGCTAACTCCAGTGTCACATTCATTCTCTACAAAGTCGTTTTAGACCTCTAGATTGAGCAAAAGTATAAAGCACCTTTCCATGTGGTCGTGTTGTCTCAAAATAAATAAGGAGATCCCAAATTCAAACATGAAAATCACTACTTTAGTGAAAGTATTCCAGCTATAGAGAAGCAAGATGCAATACCTTATCTTCTCTTTCAAGGGGTCATAAAGTTTGAAAAATAGAAGGATATCTTCCTTGGTCTTCTCTAGTGGAGGAAAAGGTCGCAAATCCTGCAAATATACACAAAATAAAATAAAACGCAAACGTAAAATATGTGGAATAAAGCATCACAGAGAAAACATGCAACATATGAATCGCCAAAAGGGAAGACAAGTAGGAAAGTGATGCATTACCAGGCATAATTCTACTTCCAGAAACAGTTTTAACTCAGCATTATTCTTGTCTCTCAGTTGACCAACCTGAAAACACATAATGTAAAATCATTAACATTGAGTTAATCAAGTAGACCCATTGTTTAACAAACTATAGAAACCATGCACTACAGAAGAATGGCAGGAAAAAATAATCATAATACCCACCACAATTGTCACACTTCAACAAAATCACTTTCAAGGGGGCCGAGGGGTCGCAATACTTAGTCCAATCAAAAAACATGTCTGGAGGGTGGGGAGGAGGGAGTTAAGGGGAGACAGAGAGGTAGTGAGGGAGCAATGGACTTGTGGACCAGCAATGGATGAAACAACATGGTCAGAGGAATATTGATCCTATTCACCAGAAACTGAAGACATCTATTTTGCTAAGCAACAGGAAATTGGTTGATGCCAAGCTCTAGATCAGAATTTTCAGGAGACAGAGTTACGATTGCAAAAATTATTATATTCCTTAGTCGATCAGGATCCACATAGCTTTTTTTGGTAAAGGTGCCTGCTATCTCCCACATGTACCGAGTTGAATCCACATAACTATATTACTTTCTTTATACTTGCAAAAACATACAAATTGATTATCCCCGACTATAGCCTCTTTTTTCGGGAGAAGACAGATCGAGTACGAGAAATTGTTGAATCAAACTGTCCCATATAGCTGCGGACCATACATGGAGATGTATGGTAATGTCAGATAGCTTCACACCACTGACAAGAATATCATGCTAAGGTCATTCCTTTTTATTTCATGTGATAGGATAATCCAAGGAGAACAAATTTTATGTAGAAGATTAAACATGAAATATACAAAGAACATCACCATTAAAACTGCACTCATTAGACGAAGAGCACACTCCAGAAAGACAGCATTGTCAGAAAGAACTTACGGATTGAGTTTGCTCTTGAGCTGTCGATGTACGATTAGGCCGATACGTATGGTTCTGGCGTTTTGCCCATATCCAGTAACGTTGAAATTGCACCGGTATACCCAATTCCTTAGCAACTTCCTCCTGGAAACAGATGTACCATCAGACACATGCCATACTTAAGACTTACAGTGATTGACCAATGACATTCATAAAAAATATGTTTATCTTGTCTGCTGAGAGAGCACTAGTAATTGTGTGAACCCTCACAACCTAACCATTAGAACTTCATATTCTCAATTTTTATGATTGTTTGTATTCTCCTCCCATTTGACATATATTAATTATTAGCACTCAGAATGCGAAGTTTATCTTTTAACTCGATACAAAACACAAGTTACAGAAGTTTACCTTCCATATTTCAAGTTGTTGAAGAAACAAATTTCAGACGCCTCTCTATTAAACAAGGGCAAACTGAATTCATTCTCATGCTGTACATATAATTGCTCGTCATGTTTGGTAAAAGCAGTATGACTATAACTTTTCAAATCTATGAGAAAAGGAAATGCAACAGAATGACAATTGTACCTTGAATTGAGTAAATGGTATCTGTTTCTGAATACGAAAAGTACGCACTTTATCATGACCACAAGATCAAAATCAATCTCCTTTCCGATTTGTTCACCAAGATCTTCATCACGAGCTACCTGAAAATGAAATGATATTTTCAGTTAAACTTTTCTAAATATAAAGATACAAGAAGTAAGCATAGAGACTAAAAGTTGAAAGAAACCTTGATGATTGTGTAGAGATGATCCTCTACTTTCTCCTTTCTCTTTTGTTCCTTTTCTTCTTGCTCTTTCTTCAGTGTTAGCTGAAAGTTGAGGTTGATAAAAGATTACTACAACTGAACCAATAGAATGAGAAACTAAATCAACAGTATTGAGTATAAACCCACCCTGAGATGCTCGGCTATGTCCTTCACATCCACATTGCATATAATCTTTTCCTTGTCACTTTCACGTATGTAAACAAGCACATACGCGTTTTAATATTTATAAAAGTGAATGGTGAATTTGCTAAAATATTGACTAAAGTGTAGACTACTCGACTTTATCGAATTTCCAACGGCTGGAAATACTACATTATCACTGGACAGCCGTCAGAATCCATCGGAAGACTTGTGGTGCCAGTTTGAGGGAAAATTTTAGCACTACTTTTCAATCGGCTTCCCAACGGAAACTTACTAGAGAACCAATCTAACAAAGCTTAACAGTTTTGATCAATCTTTCGCGTTTAAAAAAGAGAAATTTACTTCAATTTTACACCCCAATAGCATCGGATATTAAATTCAGCATATATCCATCCCAAAGATCATTTTTCCGAAACTCCACCAAGCAAAGCACCTTAGAACAGAAACAAGCAAAACAAACCGTAAAATCCAAGAAAGTTACAGAACAACTTAGTGGATTAAGCATCACAATCGCACTTCAGAGAAACTTTGGTCAATTTCAAAGTGCAATCTTCTTGCAAAACTACACCAAATAAAGCTACTTTAAACCAAAAACATAATAACGCAAAACAAAGTAAAACTGGAAAAAAATGAATTTACACAGCAACACGGCCAATAAATTCAGTCAGCATCGTATTTTAAAGAAATTTTAGGTCAATTTCACACCACAATCACGGCTGCTTATATTCAGCAACTATAAATTTAAATAAATAAAAAAGGAAATCATAAACATTGCAAAGCAACACCAAATGAAGTTACTTTAACCCCAAAAAGAATACACAAAACAGAGTAAAACTTGGGGGGAAATGAAGTAACAGAGCAACACGGCTACTAAATCCATTCAGTATGGCTTTTTAAAAGAAAGCTTTGGTCAATTTCACACCACAATCACAGCGGACTAAATTCAGCATCTATAAATAAATAAATAAAATCAATATTTTCACAACTAAACCAAGCACAGCTACTTTAAACAAAAAAAATACGCAAAAGAGAGTAGAACTGTAAAAACAAAGTGAATTCACACAGCAACACGGCTAATAAACTCAGTAACAATCACATTTTAAAAGAAATTTTAGGTCAATTTCACACCACAATCACAACAAAGTGCAAACTATGGGTGTGCTTGGTATGGAGGAAACTAATGTTTTTCAATTTTCCGATGTTTTTGGAAAACATTTTAATACTTAAATACCAGGAAAGTGACTTCCCTAGTGGGAACAGGGAAAAATAAGTTCCATAAGCGACATTCCATCCTGATTGTCTCGTCCCCACCCCCAACACCTCGGCTCCACCCCTGTCCCCTCCCCCTACACCCCGACCCCCCCACCCCAACCCCCATACCACCCCCACTTCCATTTCATCTCATTCCCTGCCCCACCACACCACTTCCACCCACACGAGAAGTTTTATTTTGTGTCTCGTACAACTGAGACTAGTTGTATGAGGCTACTTTTTGTCTCACAAACTAGTGTCAGTTACTAGTCAGTTGTATGAGACACAAAATAAAATTTTCCCACCCACACTAACCAACCAACCCCACCCTATAGTGTTTACCTATATTAGATATAAATACTCTTGGGACAATACTTTCCGCATACTTACCAAATACCGAAAAAAAACACTTATTTTCTAGGAAAATATTTATAAGGAAAACATTTTTTGTGGAAACCAAACACACCTTATATTCAGCACTTATATTTTCGACACCAGGAAAAGCTACTGTAAACAAAAAATACGCAGAACAGAGTAAAACTGTAAAAGCAAATAAGTTCACAGAGCAAAAATTACAGAGGGATGAAGAGGAAGATAATTACACCTACCGGAGGAGGAGCAAGGAGAGCCATTGCCTGAGAACTGTTACCGTACGATCAGTGGCGAATGGGAGAAACTTCCGTGCTTGAGAATTCAGTGCATGTGTGAATAGTGTGATGAGAGTGAACGTTGGGTAAAGGATGAGGAAGAGGAAGAGTTAGTGAAAATAAAGAGGTTTACTTTGGGGGTGTTTCGTGATTTCAAGAGGCGTTTACGGAACTGTAGATGAGTGCCATGTGTTAAAATCTATTTTAATGGTCAAGATCTTACTTTGCACTTTTTCTAAGCTAGCTTTTGAAAATATATTTGATTGAAACAAAGAGCTTTTGAAATCATGTTAAAAAATAATTTTTGAAAGTTAAATTTGTGTTTGCACATACATTTTATTTGAAAAAAACTTGAAATTTTGGAAGTGGAAGAAAAAATTTCACCTGAGAACTTGAAAAAAATAACTTCAATTTTTTTTGAAAAACTGGTCATGTTCTATGAACAAAGAGTGCTTTCAAATTATTATTTTTTTTGAAAAAATGCACCCAAAATCTATGGCCAAACGGGTGCTAAATCTATTTTTTATATTAAACATCGATTAATAAAAATATAGGCTTTCTTCGAGAAGTTTTATTGTGTGCCTCACACAACTGACATTAGTTGTGTGAGACACATTTTTGTCTCACAAATTTGTGGACGCCAATCTTACATTTTTAGATTTATAAAATTGTGAGACAAAAAAGAGGACTCATCAGAGGCGGATCTAGGATTTGAAGGTTGCGGGTGCTATATTATTTTGTACGTAGATGTATTACTATTATTTATACGGTCCAAAAAGGGTAAATGTCCATTTTGATCAACTTTGGATTTTGATTCGGGTTATTCATCGTTTCAGTTTATACAGACAAATATAATGAACGAAAAAAAATATACAGACAAATATAACAAACCAAATCCGAAGCCGAGCCGAGCCGAGCCGAGCGAGCGAGCGACGACGACGACGGCGCGAGGCTTGCCTTCTTCTCAACTCTTTATGAGCTAGAAGAAGAGCAATTGCTTATATACCCATCAAAAACCTTTTCCTCTTCCAATATGGGACAATGTCCCTTTGCCAAGGGGGGAAACTTAAAATATCACTCAAAAATTTCATTTCCCTCCATTTTCTATTCACCCTCTTCTAAGTATTTAATATAATTAAATACATAAAACCCAACAATCCCCCACATGAATGGGGAATGGCTATATCACGGAAACATGCATGAAAAACTGTGTGATTCGCAAGCATGGATTAATTGCATCTGGATAAGTAGGTTTCCCTTTGAACTTTCCGTAGTAAACTTATGTCGGATATACTCGATCAATCGGTAGATTTGATATCTTTGAACCGTCGAACTTTAGTGTATACCTAGACAACCGCAAGTCACACAACCAACCCTTAACCGTCTTTGGTTCTCATTGTTGTGTTCGTTTAAGCCATGAACACCGCCTGGTTTCATAAGTGCGTAGAGAACTGGCCTTCCAAAGTTCTCCTTGAAGTGGCTAACACTTCACACTTACATAGGTGATTCCTAAACGTGTCATCCCATAGATACACTATTTGATATACCCCCGTATCAAATTTAAAAATCATTAAAAAGCCTTAATGTTTTATCCTTGGTACTGAACATTGTCTCATCACGAGAATGGACCAAAAGTTTAGTTGACAATGTTGAACCGTCATTAATGACTTTGTTTGATCTCCTTGAACCTAGATCTTGGGATCTCCAGTCTTCTAGGTAGAGTTACCGCCACTATGACTTGTTCTCGGCCATGGTCCCATTCCCCTTGATGATTTCTCAACTACCTCTCTAGTTAGGCCTTTTGTAAGTGGATCCGACACATTATCACTTGACTTTACATAACCAATCGTGATAATTCCTCTAGAGAGTAATTGCCTAACGGTTTTATGTCTTCGTCGTATATGACGAGATTTATCGTTATACATAACGCTCCCAGCCCTTCCAATTGCCGCTTGACTATCGCAATGTATGCATATTGGTGCCAATGTTTTGGGCCAAAATGGAATATTTTCCAAGAAATTCCGGATCCATTCAGCTTCTTCACCAGCTTTATCTAAAGCTATGAATTCAGCCTCCATTGTAGATCGGGCAATACAAGTTTGTTTGGACGACTTTCAAGATACCGGTCCTCCACCAATAGTGAATACATATCCACTTGTGGACTTGAAATCAGTTGATCCGGTGATCCAATTTTCATCACAGTATCCCTCAATGACCGTAGGATATTTACTGTAGTGCAAAGCAAAGTCCTGGGTATGTACTAAATACCCCAAAACTCGTTTCATGGCCATCCAATGAGATTGACCTGGATTGCTCGTATATCGACTCAATTTACTTATAGCACAAGCTATATCTGGTCGTGTACAATTCATGATGTACATTAAGCAACCCAACACACGATAATAATCCAATTGTGATATGCTTTGGCCTTTGTTCTTTGCTAATGCAAGATTCACGTCAATTGGAGTCTTTGCAACTTTAAAGCCTAAGTGCTTGAATTTTTCAAGTACTGTCTTAATATAATGAGATTGTGACAATGCCAGACCTTGAGAAGTCTTATGGATCTTAATTCCCAGAATTAAATCAGCAACTCCCAAGTCTTTCATATCAAACTTGCCAGTTAGCATGCGCTTAGTCGCATTTATATTGGCAATGTCATTACTCATTATCAGCATATCATCCACATATAAGCAAACAATGACTATGTGATTTGGAACATTTTTAATGTACACACATTTATCACATTCATTTATTTTAAAACCATTTGACAATATTATTTGGTCAAATTTCGCATGTCATTGTTTGGGTGCTTGTTTTAGTCCGTAAAGGGACTTAACAAGTCTACATACCTTCTTTTCTTTACCTGGAACCACAAAACCTTAAGGTTGTTCCATGTAAATTTCTTCCTCCAACTCTCCATTTAAGAAGGATGTCTTAACATCCATTTGATGAATTTCAAGACCATAAACTGCAGCTAATGCTACTAATGTTCGTATGGACGTAATTCTTGTAACTGGAGAGTATGTATCGAAATAGTCAAGACCTTCTCGTTGTCTATACCCTTTGACCACAAGTCTTGCCTTAAATTTGTCAATAGTGCCATCATCTTTCATTTTCCTCTTAAAGATCCATTTAAAACCCAACGGTTTATTTCTAAGAGGAAGATCAACCAATTCCCATGTATGGTTGTTCAGTATGGATTCTATTTCACTATTGACTGCCTCTTTCCAAAACAATGATTCCGAAGAAGACATAGCTTCTTTAAATGTTTGAGGCTCATTTTCCAATAAGAAAGTCACAAAATCTGGTCCAAATGAAGTAGACGTTCTTTGACGTTTACTACGTCTTGGATCCTCCTGGTTAAGTGTACTTTCTTTTGTTTCTTCCCGAGGTCGTTTAGATCCTTCACCAATCGACTCACATTCCTTTTTATACGGATATATATTTTCAAAGAACTCAGCATTATCTGATTCTATAACCGTATTATTATGAATGTCGGGATTTTCTGATTTATGAACCAGAAATCGATATGCTTTACTATTAGTCGCATATCCTATGAAAACACAATCAACGGTTTTCCATCCTATTTTTACCCTTTTGGGTTTAGGAACTTTGCACTTTTTGCCTAAACACCCCCCACACCTTTTAAAAATAATTCCAAAGTTTGGGCTTCCTTCCTTTCCATTTTTCATATGGAATGGATTGTGTTTTGCTATGGGGTACTCGATTTAGTATTCGGCTAGCCGTAAGAACGGCTTCCCCCCACAAGTTCTGTGGCAAACCAGAACTTATCAATAAAGCGTTCATCATCTCCTTTAATGAACGATTCTTTCTTTCGGCAATCCCATTGGATTGGGCCGTGTAAGGGGCCGTTGTTTGATGAATAATTTCATATTTTAAACATATTTGTTCAAAAGGAGATTCTTATTCACCACCCCTACCACTTCTTATCATTTTGATTTTCTTGTTAGGTTGCGTTTCAACTTTATTTTTGTATTGCTTGAATGCGTCTATCGCTTCATCTTTACTATTAAGTAAGTAAACATAGCAATATCTAGTACTATCGTCAATAAAAGTTATGAAATACTTCTTTCCACCGCGAGATGGTATTGACTTTATATCGTAAATATCTGTGTGAATTAAGTCTAAAGGATCTGAATTCCTTTCAACTGACTTATAAGGATGTTTAACATACTTAGATTCTACACATATTTGACATTTTGATTTGTCGCATTCAAATTTAGGCAATACTTCCAAGTTAATCATTTTCCGCAAGGTTTTATAATTAACATGACCCAAACGTATATGCCACAATTCATTTGACTCAAGTAAG